ACCATGCCCCTTTAAGGGCTCCGGGGCTGGGAGGGGGGCAGAAGAGTTTCCCTGGTGGTGCCCAGAGTGGCCACCAGGGAAAGCTGGGGAGGGCTAGCCTCCCACTAGTTCGAATTAAGTGGCTACACATCCCTTAATTCGAACTACTTAATTCGAACTAGGCGTTAGTCCTTGTAGAATGAGGTTTACCGAGTTCGAATTAAGCGCTCCGCTAGTTCGAATTAAGTTTGAACTAGTGGTTTGCCTGTGTAGCATCTATCAATGTTAATTCGAACTAACGTTTGTTAGTTCGAATTAACTTTGTAGTGTAGACATACCCCTATAGGTTAGTTTCAGTGAGAATGAGATGCAGGATCACTTTACATGTAAAACCTCCTGTTAGAATTTCTGGCACTGGCTGGTAGAATTTGTTTGATTTTTGATTTGGTTTAATTAAGGTGCCTGACTGTTAACTAAGATCTACACTTTTTCCATCTTCTGGCTGGCTCTGTGACTCTTCTCTGCAAACACCTTGGTGGTTTTAGCGAGGAGGGCAGTAGTGTTGACTTTGTTTCCTTTTTCCTCTTTCTCACTAAGCTCTGTTTTCACGTACGTCAAACACTGAAGATGGCAAGGAACAGCTGACATACGACTCTGGAGAGGAAGAGGAGGATGAAGAGGAGGACTTCAAGCCTTCTGATGGGAGTGAGAATGAAATGGAAACAGAAATCTTGGACTATGTGTGACACATTGAGCGGCCAGCATGAGGCTGCCTGGGACTTTTGTTTCTTGGTATGGAATCATGACCAGGCTGTCAGGAAGATGCCAACTAGACACATGGTGCTGGATGTGGGGCTAGCAGTTGTGCTAAGTGCTCTACAGGCACTAAAGACCATGTTTCTGCAGCGCTGGGTGACAGGCACTTGTCAAGATGTCACTGTGGGGATGTTGGCCCATTACCTCACCCAGGCAACATGCACGGACAGCATTTACTGGGGCAGTGTTTCTGGTCAGAGCGGAGCTAGTTGGGATTTCACTTGCTTTTTTTTTTTTTTTTCTCTTGGACATTAGATTGTTTTAATTTCCCTTCCCTCCCTGCACTTACAAACGGCAACATCTGATCCCACATCAGTGGGTTTTGTACTTCCCTTTGAGGGTATACGTAGGACAGCTACTGGGAAGGTACGTTAGTGCTCTGTCTGCTCGTACCAGGAGCTGGGAGTCTCTCCATCCTTGCCAACTCTGATAGATCAGAGACATCGACGAGTGCAGAATCCAACCTGGATCTGAGGTGTTCCACTGGCTGCCAGGGGCCACAGGGTTTATCATTGTAGGGAATGTGTGAAGGTCACACAGCTCTATACCTGGCATCTGGGTCAGTGGGAAAAGCTTCAAACAAAATTTTCTGTATCAAGAACTGTACGAATAAGGTCATTGCTGATGTAATCGTGAGGCATTACAGAGTGTCATTCTGGCTGGTCGAAATCGATTGTGGAGTCTTATCCAATGGGACCTGTGTAGGTATCAGTAATACTTTTGTATACATGAGAAGCAAACAGTAATTTCTCTCAGGGAAAGCCCAGCTTCCTGTGAAACACAACCTCTGGTTTATTTTTCCTAATAAAACTCTTCCTTTTTCCAATAACACATTCTTGCGTGGGTTTCTGTGTAGATATACATAGTACAGCCCATATCCCCAAAATGATCTGAAATGACGGAAACATTTTAGTAAACTGGACGTTCATTCAGTAAGTGATTCTGATTTGAGAATTGCAACTAAGAGTTAGATTGAAAGATTTGCCTGACCAGAGCTTTACGTGGTGGTGACATATACACTGAGACCAAGATCCAGGGCAGGCTGGTAATTCACTTGAAGTAAGGAGAAAAAACTCGATGCCTGTGCTTGTTCGTCCCTGTAAAAAACACTGGTTGGGTTCACGTTCTCAGCTGGCTGGGTAAAGATTTGAGCGCAGTTCAGGAAGGCATTCCATACCTCACTGTTACCTTTCGAACATGCTATTGCTTCCTGGATTTCCGACCTTGCATCCTAGAAATTAAAGATCTCTTGGGACCTGTTGTGTCTTCCATCCTCCAATCTCCATGCGGTGCAAGGTAGTTCCCAGGCCTACGGTATGTTAACTAACGCATGGTTTAGCACAGCGATGGGCTAGTGAGTGGCCCTCCTCCATCTCAGTGGGCTTCAAGACGGCCTCCCAGGATAGGGTAATTTTTCTAGTTGTGCTCGTGTACCTTCAGTTTTGGAGTGTGCTGACACACTGCAAGCAGCAAGAACCGCAATACACGTGCCCTGGCGCTACGTGTGTGTCACTAGTGAAATGGTAGGAAAAAACCGACTCCGATGGAAACCAGAGGAATCTGGTAATCCTGCGTGTGGGCAACAGTAAACAAAATGTCTTCTGGGCAGCGTTCCTTGTAAGCTGGGCACTTGTGCAGCCACTCAGGAGAGTCAGATGCTGCCCAGGTGATTAGCAGAGCACCCCAAGCTAGGTTTGTGTTTCTACTGGTGGTGCCCATTCACACAGGCCTCAGTGCAAATAAGAGACATTAGAGTCTAACCGAGTAGCTGATGCTCACCGGTTAATGCTGTCGGTTAAATGGCCCCGTTTCTAGGGAGGTAGCTTCACTGCAGCAGCAAAGCCTGTTCCCCCAGGAGCAGAACCAACAGACGCTGCCCACCTGGCTCCTGGGGACATGGTTCCCAGGTTCATTGCGGGTTCTGTGGTATGAAGCTTATTTAAGCTTTGTACTGCAGAGCCTGCAGCGCACGTAACCTGAAAGATTTTTAACAGTTACACAGTTACCTTATTAAACATCTTTTAACATCTCTAGTGCACATACAAAAATTATTCCGCACATGGATGGAAAAGATTGCTCAGGGGTTAGATATAGGAAACTGATGGGCTGCATGCAGCCGGTGGACGGCAGATTTCCCACCACTGTTTAGCCTAACAGTAAATGTAACTTACGTTCCTCTTGCTTCTAACTTGCATTCTTACAACTTCTTAAAGCGTCTTCCTCCTGCCCCCATAGACCTGTTATAAGTACGAAACTCCTGATAAGGTGGGTTCCAGCCCCTAACAGCAACAGCTGGAACTCTCTCAGACGCTAGTGCCAGTTATCTACATTTTCAACAATTAAAAGATTTGGCTGCAACCAGGTGTGTGTGTGGTCTCTGCTGGCACACGTGACAACCGGGTGGGGGTTGTGCAGAACTGCGTGGGCTTGTGTCAGCAGCGGTCCTCCTGTACTCTATATATAGGCAGACATGCTTGGACAGGCTTGTCCAACACGCGTCATGGGTCACTGGGAGGTTCTGTGCTTTGCCCTAGCCTGCTACCTTGGCGTAGCAAGGGCTACCACAGTAAGTAGGAGGTTGTTCATGGATGCTTAACAGTCGGCGTAAAGATAAATTGTGCTAGAGTGAAAACAGACTGCCTGGCTTAAAGGAAAAAAAAAAGTGCTTTTAAAGCTTTGCATGCCCTTCGCTAGCTGAGAAAACACCTGTTATGTTTTCAGCTATTTTGGATCATTATCTAAGAGGTCCATTAAAAGGAATGTGCAAAGGAGGAAAAAGAGGCTGTGTCCCCTTGCTAGTTTATAGTAGGGCTCCAACCCATTTTTCATTTCTTTTGCAGGTCTCCTTTAATGTATATCTCATTGTCTATTCCCTCTCTGATACAAACCATCGCCTACAGCACTCTTGTTTCCATTTTTAATTTCTTCCTCTTCATTTTTCTGGGCATGGGAAGAAGGAAATTATCAAGTGTGAAAGCCTTGTTGGGAATCCAACAGAAAAGTTGCAAATCTGAATGCACCACTATTTGGGGAATACTAATCTTAACAAATAGAAGCTTTTTACCTATCTTGTACGGAGTTCTACATGTAACCATTGAAAACACTACGAAGGTGTATGTTGTGGATGGTTTGTTGTTGCTATGGGAACCTTAGTTTGCATATCCTGGTGCTGGCGTTCAAATGTGTACCTTTGCATTTTTTTCCTTTTTGACTAGGTTTTAAAGAATAGAAACAAACTCTATCTGAGATGCTATAGTATTGTTTAATACTGTTTTGTGCAACTCAGTAACTTTTAAATGGTGCCACTTTAGAGATACCTAAAATATAGCTGGAGCATTATGGAGTTACTCAGTAGTTGCAGGCAACAATATAACAAAACAGACTCTTTTTTTTTTTTATTTGCAATGTACTTCAAAATATATATTCTCAAACATACCATGGATTCTGCATGTATTCATTATGCATCCAAAACTCACTGAAATCAGCGGGAATTTTGAGTGTGCCAGGAATTCATGTTGAGGTACAATATAACTATTCTGCCATGTCTTGTTTTTAAATATTATCTGTTTTAATTTTATATTTAATTTTGCTGCCAATTTTTAAAATAAAACAAATTGAGTTTCTTTCCTGCCAATTGCCTTAATCTATCAGTAGCGGAACTGATCTTATAAACTTTCCAGCATGGTGAACCACTTAGAAACAGATGAGATGAAATGTGGCAAGTTCCAATCCGAATAGGAAATTTTTGAGAAAGGGCTGATTACAGCGGTATCTGAGCAATGTTTCCTCTCATGTTTTCCATCCATGGCAGAATAAATTTTGTCATGTCTGCCAAGCTGATGTGCACCACCAATAGAAACACATGTTGCTGGCTGTGGGCGCTCTGATAATCAACTGGCTGGCCCAAGTGATCAGCTTACAGGGAACGGTGTATCTGAGATGAAACACACCTAATGGGTGATGTATCTAGAATCAAATACAAACTAAATAAATATCTTATTCTATGCCATTATGCATTTGTTGGAGGCTATTTTCTGTTCTCTGTACTGGTTGATGAATTCTGAACAGTGATGAAAGTGCAGGGCAACCTCAGATTAGCTACAGAAGGGATATTGCATGTCCTGTCTTATGGTCTTCTCTGAATGGGCATGTCAGGAAGGAAAGTGAGGGACAAGCAGCAGTGCTGCAAACTGTTGATCCGCTGGCCCAAACATTTGTGGGCTGTGGGTAAGTGGGGCAGTTGGTTTTGTTTTCAACTTGGGGTAAAGTAAGTAATGGCAATGTGCTATCCCAGCTAGTGCGTGCAGACAGCTAACTTGGATGCAGTGTTTGGGTGTGGCTGGCCTGTTTCTCTTGCTGATGCTCATCTTCCCATTACGGGCACCCAGGTAGCTTTCATCCGATGAAACAAGTCACCCAGCCTCCATCTCCTGCCTCCACCGAAATGTTGAAGGGTAGGAATTAGTCTTCTATACAGCAGCTGGCCAGATACTTACAGATTAGTGAACATTTTGGCAGCAGGTTCCTGTAAATGTTTTACGTTTTGCTTCACATCTGTTATATCTTGACTCTCAGATCCTCTGTAAAATAAATTAAGGTCCAGGTCGGTGGGTTATGAGTTGACCTCGCTTCTGTAAGCCCTTGAAGTGGGCAGTTAAAGTCAGATACTCAGGCTCCACTGAGAATCCCAATGTGTGTTGATACTCAAGGGATCTGGGTGCCTGACTCCCTTAATCTTCAGCAAAAATCATAGCATCAAAGAACACTAGCACTGGAAGGGCCCTTGAGAGGGCATCAAGTCCAGCCCCCTGCCCTCGTGGCAGGACAAAGCACTGTCTAGAACTAGATCAAGGGTGAGAACGACTAGTCGACTATCTGATAAGCAAATGCTTATCGGATAGTCGACACTAGTCAACTGGTTGCTTCCCCCCACTCTTGCTGCCTCTATCGGAAAGAGGCAGCAAGGGAGGAGAGGAAGGGGTGATTCAAAGCAGCAGAGCCCTGTGGGCTGGGCTTTGAAATGCCACGTGCAGCCTGGTGCCAGCTGGGCGTCCCCAGCTGAACCCAGGCTCCATGTGATGCTGCTGCTTTGAAATGCTGCGGAGAGCCTGACACTGTGGAGAGCCTGAGGCTGGGCTCCCCGCGGTGTTTCAAAGTGGCAGCGCCACATGGAGCCTGGAGTCAGCTGTGGGGATTCAAGCATCCCCTGCTGATCCTGGGTTCCATGTGGTGCCGCCATTTTGAAATGCTGGTTGAGTCCCCCGCTGGCTTCGTGCTCCCTGCCGCACTTTCACGTTTGAAGTGTAGCAACAGCAAATTGCATCGACTATTCGATTAGCCAATTCATCTAAATTTAACATCCCTAATCTAGAGCAGGGTAGGTAAAATCAGGCCTGGGGGCCGCATCCAGCCCACCAAACGTTTCTTTCTGACTCATCTAGCTGATTAGCAGAGCATGCACTTACAGCCGGCAGTGTGTGTTCAGCTGCCCCTCCCCCCACCTTGCTCCATCTGGCAGCTGAGCGGCTGCCAAGATTCTCCTGCTAGCTGTGCAGAGTGGGGGGGAGGATGGGG